AAAATTTGTATCGAGAAAGAATAAACTAGTTTTAATCAAGAAAGAACTTGTATCGCTGAAGTTTCTCGGGAAGAATTTCTACTGGAAATTAAAAACAAGCAGATACGTAACGATATAATTAATCAAACAAAGGTGTGTGTAACTTTTTCAAGTTAACAATATTTTTTATAAACAAAATGAGGGGTTGGCAATGGGATCCCCACTTTCACCATTGTTATGTGATTTACATATGGATGAATTTGAAACAAAAGCCATAAATGGTGCAAGATGTAAATCTGATATTTGGATAAATATGTAGATAACACATTCTTAGTATGGAGATATGATAATAAGCCATTAACAGAGTTTGCAAACTATTTGAATAGCATAGAACCTTCTATACAAACTGAGAAAAATAATACTTCGTCTTTTATAGATGTATTGGTAAAAAGGAATGAAGAAATGTATTTAGAAACATCTATTTATCGGAAACCTTTTTCTGTTCTTATGCCACCATATCAGAAACCATATCATACGGAAATACAAAAAAAAATGTCTGTATTTTACATTTATATTCATAGAATTCTGAAGATATTGTTACGACATCGGGATCACGTGACGCTAGTAACACGTCATTGACTTCTAGAAATATCCTGTTCCTTCATGAATGCCCTAGCGTTTACTAGATATGTGTTAGTCTTGTATATATAAGACGGTCACAACGTGACGGAACAATGTGTAATTGAACTGCGGAAAGAGAATATTGTTGAACACGTGAGACGTTCGTTGAGAATTATAGCGTTTGTTATAGCGCGACTGTTGAAATTAAGTGTATCGCAAAGTTATATTCAAAAAGAATAAACCAGTTTTATTTAACAAAGGACTTGTGTCGCTAAAGTTTCGTCGGAACGAATTTACGGAAAATTAACTAACGAACGGAGACGTAACAAATTGGTGTCAGAGAGTGGGACAGAAAATAAAAAAATAAAAAAAGAAGAAGATGGAAACGAGAGGCGGAAAATCAAACTACAGCTTAGCAGATTTGATGGCAGCAATACAAGAACAGCAAAAGAAACAAGAAGAACGAGAAAAAAAACAAGAAGAGAGATTACAGCAGTGGTTGGAGGAAAAAGAAAAGAAACAAGAAGAACGAGAAAAGAAACAAGAAAAAAAAAACAAGAAGAGAGATTACAACAGTTGTTAGAGGAAAAGGAAAAGAAACAAGAAGAGAGACAACAGCAGTTGCAAGAAAATCTCCAACAATGGCAGTTCGAACAGCAAAATAAACAAGAGAAATTACAGCAGTTGTTGGAGGAAAAAGAAAAGAAACAAGAAGTACGAGAAAAGAAACAAGAAGAGAGATTACAGCAGTGGCAACTGGAACAAGAAAGGAAACAAGAAGAAAGCCAGCAGCAACTACAGGAAAGTTAACAACAGTGGCAAGAAGTAGAAAAGGAAAACATTAGTAAATTTAAAAGCGAATTAGACACATTAAAGGATGATTTATTGTCTTTTACACAAGGAGAATATATTAACCGTCGACTTAATCAACCCCAGACAATGGCAAGCCCCTTCCAGATCCCGCAGCTAAGCCCTAATGCAGCCATCTTCAGCCCTGTTGGAAGTCACATCCCAGATATGAATGTCAGTAATAGGACCGATCAAGTACGAAGAAAGCCACAGGAATTCGATGGGAAGGCACCGTGGGAAGCATATAGAGCACAATTTGAGCTCCTGGCAAAAATGAATGGGGGACAGAGGAGCAG